ACCACACTTACCACCCTATCAATGACTTTGGTAAGAAATTAACCTACTGCACCCTGTTTTTCATTTGTATTATGGCAAAGACACTTTGAAAATGGAAATAACCAATTCAACCAAGCCAGGACCATAACCGTGGAGACAAAGAAAGATGTAGAACAGAGAATCATTCAATACTATATCAAGGCCTTTGTGGTTCTTAGGCAATAAATTATGTTGCAAACCATAGCCTGGTGTTATGGCTACTGATTAGGGAAATGTCATTCTCCAAATGGAATAAAATTCCAGGAAGAATACATGAGACAAAATATCCCAACATAGGAATAAAGTGCTTCAAAGAGATTTCTGTCTCACAACAATTGCTCTGGAGAAAAGATATCTGTCTGAAAGATACCTGTCTGCACTAAAACTGTACTTACTTCTTGCATATGCAATTACATATTCATGTCTGCATTTAAAGCAGCAGGGAAGAATAACATTATTCAGAAAATTTCAAGACAGTGTGAAATTCTAAGAATTAGGTTTTAAGAACAGAGGAAATGATCTTCAAGAGACACTGTCGAGGTCACTGGAGCTTAGATGTAACAAATATCCTCTTCATAGCTGTTCAAAAGTTTGCTTGATTTCTAATGTACATGCCCCAGAGCTATTACTTTTTCTATAGTAGCTTAACATCTATAATAGCTCTACGTGGGAGAAACCCTCAGTATAGTAAACCATAGTGTATATATAAAAAAATTAATTTTGCCACTGAAAAGCCTCATAATTCTGGATTTATGAAAGGAAGGGCTGGTAGATAACATGCATCATAGGACTGGGCCCCAGTGCATTTTCGCCCCTTCGTATTCTCTATTCCAAGTCATTAAACTGGAGGAGCAGTCAAAGATCCTTCACAGCAGGTTTCAGGGCCACCAAATCTGCTTCCATTGTCTCTACGTAGCACAACCTGGTGTGGCACTCCTGTCACTGCTTAGCAATCTAAACCTCAGCCATTTGTGTAAGTGCTCTGCCCAGGGCACTCTTGCAAGCTTTCAGAAAACACAGTCAGTTTTTCAAGGACCTTTTGGAGTTCAGTAATTTTCATTCCAAGGCTGAAAACAGTTAGGCAAGAAATTTCAGCTTCTAAAACATCACTAGAATAATCAAATCATGTACAAACTAGAAAGACATTAATGGTATATTTCTGGTATAATAAAGAATATGTTTGCATACGTTCACAGCATGAATGAGATTTAAAAAAAAACCCTCAAAAGTCTGGCTAATAAATAGCCATGCAGTGTTTCTTCCAAGTCCAGTTGAAAAATTCAGATTTAAGGCTGGCAGAGCTGAAGAGACATACCTAAACTATGGAGAAGCACAAGCCTTACAGTACCATGTAATATAGCTCCTCAGAAAATCTATTATGGCAGAGAAAGGATAAAAGGTAACAGAAAAGGAAGACGGCTGTGCTAACCAAGGAACTCACGTGTTCTTGGGATCAGTGGAGTAGTGAGGCAGAACTGAAGCAAGGTTTGTTTCCATGCTAGCACCTCCATGACCTCCCTTGGCAGATTATTCCATTGTCTGACGGGACCTCAGTGTTTGACCATTTTCCCTAATGACTTTACTTGTTTAGTGTCAGTGTTTTATATTGCCCAGAGCTCATTTGAATAGCCCCTATGTTTTGGGGTTTTTTGTAAGTGTGTATGATACAGTAATTATAAAATTTCCCCCCTTAGTCATCTCAACGGTTGGTCAGAAAATAGATGAATACCTGTATAAATATATGCATTCTTGCATGAGCCAAATTTTGTATGTGCATGCAAAACTCAATTTGAATGCACAAATGACTATATATGCATTTTGT